CAGCTTCTTCAATATAGCTTCGACTCTTGCGATTTGCTCTGACACCGAGGAGCTGCCTTCGTCGTAGACATCATCAATCAAGCTTCCTTCCGCCGTTGGTGCGTACGGGCTGCCAAGTCCATTTTTACCCTTGCCCTGCTTGGAGCCAGCTTTGATCATGGCACGTTGGAAGAGTACTTCAGCTTCGTCTGTTTCACCCGCAGATCGCATCTCATCGAAGTCTGCCTCGTACTGCCGCAGAGTAGACAGCAGCTGCGAGTCGCTGGCACTCGCTTCATTGATGGTGTCTCGGTAGGTTCGAATATCGCCCCGTAGAGTAGTGTTTAGCCTGGCGCTGGGCTGCTGACTCCAATCCGCTCCGTATTTGGAGCGCATCTTCTCGCATACGCTCTCCTCCAGGTCCAATTGTTTAGAACACTGGTCTAGTTGTGCGAGAATCTCCACCTTGCGATCCTGTAGCCCATCGAAGGCCTTGATGAATGGTTGATGACCCGCAAGCTCCTGGCACCATCGTCGGAATTCATCATCCACAGTCACCTCCTGGTCCATCCCCCCTTTAAGGATATTCAAGCTACCCGGAAGTTTTAGATAATCAAGACTAGCCGCCATTTCTCCATTTGCCGTCTCAACTTTCTCGGTTTCCGCACGGATCAGCTTGGCTTTCTCTTCATCATAGAGACTGGCCGTTTCCGTAACGGACATCGGGACCAGTTTTTGGAAGATATCCGGGCCGATGATACGTTGGATATCCTGGCCTTGATAGAGCTCGCTGACAGGAATTGCCTTTGCTGCAGGAAGCTTCGCAACAGCTGACAAACCTGCCTCGCTGGGAATGGGTTGGTGATAGATGAAGTCGTTGTCCTTCATAAATACGGTAAGCTTGGCTTGGACATTGGCAAGATGATACTTGATGATATCGAGGAGGTTGGTGCCCGATTCGGAGCTCAAATTGGCATTCGAAGAAACCGATGATGGGAAAGACTTGGCCCATCCTAGTGCTGCGGTTGAGTTCTTCTCTGCCAGCTGCAGCCGAGCAATGGCCACACCGTGTGATCCGCTTTCGCTGTCCGTCAAGGCTTGGTAATAGGATGCTACGGATGCCATGTGCGCCGCCTTGGCTTGCACAACGATTGTCCACACTTTGTCGAAAATTCCCTTTACGAACTCCTGCATTCCCTCAGCGGCCTGAGAGTACAGATAGGCGGACTGACTTGCGAGTTTTGCGAGTAGACCGGCCTTCTTATTGTCCGCGATCTGCTTCTCCAGGAATACTTCTTGGCCTTGTGCGAGGGTGATGTTGATCAGAGCCTTAACAGTTTCCCGGTTCAAATCGGTCGACGGCGCATGGAGGAAATTCTCGTTGATATACGTGAACATGCCTGCGGATGCTTGGAAAGAGTGATACGCGGTTTTGAGACCGGTATCTTCGGCGCGATTCTGGTTTGCCGCATGGCATGACAGAACGGCGGAGATGTTGAAGATAATCGATGCTTTCTCGAACGCCAACGAGTATTGCGAAGTAGGCTTCTGGGTAAAGGCATCATACCTATGCGAGGAATTGAGGCATTAGCAGACTGGAACGGCGTGGCTGGTACAGGAGAAGACCAAGGGGTTAGGATACCAAGTGAAGGAGATCTTGATATGGTTCTCATCGACCGGAAACCTCAGGTCCAAGAGTTCCAGCTGTCCGTAATACCGATACAACAGGTCGCGGCCTGTCGCACTATCCTTCCCCGCGCCCCTCATGTCCTGGCGCAAGCGGTTGAGGGTCGCGCATTCTGAACTGTAGCGATCGGGGTCTTCACCGTAGCTCTGACGGATGTAGTCCTTGAGGGGTCGAATCCAATCGATCTCGTTGGTCTGCTTGAGCGGACACGAGATCATAGGCGATTGAACCATCTTGTTGCTCGGGAGGAGCGGGGAGCTCCCATCCAAAGGCGGAGAGACAAGCGGGCCCGAGGTCGAGCAGGGAAGTCAAAGTAGGGCGGACAAGGGCGAAGTCGCAGTGATGCAGTGATCGAGGGGGAGGGTTTTCGGGGATGGCACTGTGGGGTAACGAAGGTAGGCGATGCTTAGTCGTTCAACCCTGCGAGAATTGTGGTGGCCGGTGGTGGTAAGGATCGATAGATAGATTAGTCGCAGGGTCGCTAGCAAGTCTAGTCGTCCCCGAGGCAGCCTAACAGTAGTTCCGTCGTTAGCTCGACGATGATGACGGAAGTGGGGAGCCCAGCAACAAGACCAGCGAGGGAGGCGGGAGGGAATTGGATGGTGTAGTTGCTCCGGGGGGGAGATTAGGCTTTACCTGGCAGGCTACAAACCAAGACGAATGACAGAACTCACCTGCTGGGTGATGGAATCAGGCAGAAAGGAGTGGAGTGGAGTAGAGAGAGGCGGTTGGTGGTGGTTGACTGAAGGTGATTGTGACGAGTTGCGGATGGGGGCGAGGAGTGTGCTGTGATGGGACGCTTTCTAACCGCCGGCCGTGACGGCCAGAAAGGCAGCAATGTGGCATGCCTGAATCTATACTTTCCCTCTTACTCTCTCTCTGACACATCTTGCAATTTAAATCTCCACCAGTCAATGTCCTGTACCCCTCCGGACAGTTGGACGATCGAAACTCTGAATTGATTACTTGTTTTAGAAAGAGAAGAGGAGAATGTCTTGGAGCGCTAACTCTAATCGTACACGACATACATACACACATCATCCTGAGTAAATCTCTCTATAAACAACCCAACGTCACAAATGAATCAATTGAACGGATACAGGCGAATCGAATTATCCCAACATGCAGAATGGCACCAGAACCCCCAATCTCGCCGGCGCTATGATATTTTCCCGTAAACATAATTACACAGTAAGGAAACGAAAGTGTTTCGAAGGGATATCCAGATTTTGTCGATTATACACATGTTTGTCGGGGAACCCCTTTTAGCTGGAGCCGGACTTCTTCTCGTCGTCGGATTTGTTGCTGTCGCCGCGGTCCTTCTTGCCTGACTCGCTACCCGAGCCTTCCGATCCCGATTGTTTCGAGTGGTTCATGAGCTTGTGCCAGGCCGATTTCAGAAATCCCTCGTTCTTGGAGGAGTCGGAGGTGGCGCCGGAGTCAGGAGTCGATCTGCTTGTCTGTCAGCAACACCGTAGAAGGAACCAAACTCAGGGACATCACAATACTCACCCATCCCTAGGGATGTCCATGATGCGCCTGGCTGTCTTGTCGCCCATTTCATCTGCAAGAACCTCGAGAATTGTTCGCTGGTTGCTAGTCAAATACTTCGGCATGGCAACCTTGAACTCCACCTTCAAGTCACCCGTAGGAGTAAAGGCTCTAGAACGGCCCCCGAGTTTCTTCATACCCATGCCAGAGAGCGTAATGCGGTCACCCGTGCCAGTACCCGTGCCAACCTTGACCTTGACCTCGCCGTCCAAAGTCGGGACGGTCACTTCACCGCCAAGCAGAGCAGTGGTGAGGGGAATAGAGGCCGTGTAGAGAATATCGGAGCCGGAGCGGCTAAAGCGGTGGTCGGGGGAAACCCGGATGGAGACGTAGAGATCACCGCGCTGTGTACGGGAGCCAGGGGCTGCCGCGGTGCCTGTAGGAGGGGCGTCACCTTCTCCGGACACTCTCAGACGCATACCATCCTCGACACCGCCGGGAATGTCGACCTGGACGGTCTTGCGATCTCTGACCACACCACTTCCTTTACACGAGCCACACTCGGATCCGCGGGGAACAATCATTCCCGCACCTCCACAGGCATCGCAGGTTGCTGCAACTTGGAATCCTCCCTGCATGAAATGTACCCGAGTGCCGGAACCGTTGCACTGACGGCATTGCGAACGTTTGGCGCCCTTCTTCAGTCCATCTCCGTCACAGGTGCCACACTCTTTCAGAGGAGTGATGACAATATCCTTGGAGGTACCCTTCGCAGCTTCCATGAAAGAAATGTTGGTTTGAACCTCGATATCTTCGCCAACCAAGATCTCCTGGAACGGGCTTCGGCGTCCTCGACCCGCACGGCGAGCGCCACCGGTAAATGCGCCGAACAAGTCTTCGAAGTTGATGTCACCCGAGAATCCTCCTCCAGGGAATCCACCACCAAACCCACCACCGAAGCCGTGGAAACCACCGGCGCCGGCAAACGGGTTACCGCCAGTGGGATCGAAGCCGCCATTCTGGTCGAAAGCAGCTGAGCCAAACCGGTCGAAATTCTCGCGCTTCTTCGGATCGGACAGAAGTTCGTAGGCCGACTGAGCTTCCGCAAACTTTTCCTTGGCGCCAGGGTCTTTGTTGGTATCCGGGTGGTATTTCTTGGCCATTCCATAGTAAGCTTTCTTGATGTCGCCTGCAGAAGCACCTTTGTCGACTCCTAGAACTTTATACGGGTCAGACATGGCTCCAAGAGGAGCGGTCGTATGGAAAACCTGCGGACGGGAATGGGAACTTAGTCACAGCCCGGACAATCTCTCCATGGGACATTGTAGATGATACCTACCCTTGACGACAGGAATGCCGGACTGTTCTTGCTACGAACACCATCCCGCAGGCGCTGGCTTGTTGAAGAAGCAGTCGACACATGATAAGTCCGAACGGTGGTGGTTGATCGGACACTGGCGGCCGGGCTCTGCTTGGAGCATTGTCGCGAAGTCCGTAGTAAACGAGCGGGAATAGCCGCGGCTTTGGGCATTGCGGCGGAAGCAGCACTCATCGTGAGCAGCAGAGGAGCATCCAACGGGAGGATAAAGAGAGACGATGAGAGAGGAACGAAGGAGAAAGGCAGAGAAGCGAGATTGGAAACCGACGAAGCTGATTCGAGCAGAAGCCGGTGACCTTTTAGTTTTGAGACTCGCTCGACCGCCTCCTGATGGGGAAGACGCTTGGAAGCTTCGAGTCGCTCGCCTCGAAAAAGTTTCCCGACCGGAGCATCATTAATCCGCGCGCTGCGATGATGAAAGCCTGCTTCGGTAATCAAGCACTCGACCGACTTGACCGAAGTGAACTGATCTCCCCCTCGACCTCATTGTGCCCATTGAGCCATCACCTTCCTCTCCTTTTGTCTTCGTTGGGATTTCTCTCTCAGTCAGCTTCCGAGATACTGTCTTGTATTATATTAATCCCCCATCCCCTCTCCATCCCACTCACCTGCTTCTTTGCCGCCTCGTTTCATCCGCATTTACATTAGTAAAGCTACTAGCATGCTCCGCGGCCAGACTCTCCCCTGGAGAGCCGCGCTCCAACAAGCCTCGCGTCCCTTCATCCCTCGACCTCTACTTGCTCCCTCAAGATACAATGTCACCGCCCGATCGATACTAAATGCGTCGCGACTTCACCGCTCCCTCCCGACCTCCCGCGCCTTCTCCTCGAGCTCCATCCGGCGGAGAGAGAAGCCCCCGCCCGGCGACGAAAAGGACGACCCTGCTCAGAAGGAGCAGAAAGACGCAAACGAGGAGAAGGATGTTGAGCGTGCTCCAGACGCCCGACGCAAGGCTGCTGATCCCTCTGGCAAGCAGGGATCGTCACACGAATCCGGAGCTCCGACATCGGGCTTTGCACGGCGGAAGGAGAAAGCGGGCGCGGACAAAGAGCAACGTGGCCTGGAGGAAGACTCGAAGAAGGATGGTAATGCAGTAGAAGGCAAGGGGAACTCATCTGATACCCCATCCCCTATACCTGTCAATGGTGGCTCCGACTCGAGGCCTAGTGGCGCGAATAATGGTGGCAACGAGGATGGCGGTAAGAAGAGCAAGAAGGGCTCCGGCGAGAAGGCCTTGCAGAAGCCATCAGTTCCCGAAGTGTATCCTCAGGTGATGGCAATCCCGATCGCGAAGCGACCGTTATTCCCGGGCTTTTACAAAGCAATCACCATCCGAGACCCGAATGTAGCCGCCGCCATACAAGACATGATGAAGCGGGGACAACCATACGTGGGTGCCTTCTTGTTCAAGGACGAGAATGCAGATGGCGATGTGATCGAAAACCTGGATGACGTCTATGATGTTGGCGTCTTTGCTCAGATCACTGCCGCGTACCCTCTCCGGGGCGAAGCGAGTGGGGTCACCGCCGTTCTTTATCCCCACCGTCGTATCAAGGTCTCTTCGCTGCTTCCGCCTAGCGACGCTGCCAAGGCTGGTACAACCGAGGAGAAGACATCAGAGCGCCGTGGGGATGTTGTCGCCAGTTTCGAGGAGGGCACTGCCGAACTCGCCCCCAAGGACCACTATGAACCCACCTCCTTCCTGCGAAAGTATCCCGTCAGCTTGGTTAATGTGGAGAACCTTGCGGAGGAACCCTACGATAAGAAGAGTGCTATCATCCGCGCCGTCACCAGTGAAATCGTCAACGTCTGCAAAGAGATCGCGAGCCTGAACCCGTTGTTCCGCGACCAGATTTCTGCATTCTATACGGACCAGTTTCCCGGCAATCTGAGCGACGAGCCCGCTAAGCTGGCGGACTTTGCCGCCGCCGTCTCTGCAGGAGAGCTCAACGAAATGCAAGAGGTCTTGGAGTTGATGAACATTGAGGAGAGACTTCCTAAGGCCTTGGTGGTGCTGAAGAAGGAACTCATGAACGCGCAACTCCAATCCAAGATCTCTAAGGACGTGGAAGCTAAGATTCAGAAGCGACAGCGTGAATACTGGTTGATGGAACAGATGAAGGGCATCAAACGGGAGCTGGGCATCGAGTCCGATGGCAAAGATAAGTTGGTCGAGAAGTTCAAGGAAAAGGCAGAGAAGCTTGCTATGCCGGACGCCGTCAAGAAGGTGTTCGACGAGGAACTCAATAAGCTGGCCCATCTGGAGCCTGCTGCCTCTGAGTTCAATGTCACCCGCAACTATCTGGACTGGCTTACTCAGATCCCTTGGGGACAAAAGAGCGTGGAGAACTTCGGTATTCAGCATGCGGTGAAGGTTCTCGATGAAGACCACTATGGCCTCAAGGATGTCAAAGACCGTATCCTCGAGTTCATTGCTGTGGGCAAACTGCGTGGTACCGTGGAGGGCAAGATCCTTTGTCTGGTCGGACCGCCTGGTGTGGGAAAGACCAGTATTGGAAAGTCCATCGCACGGGCATTGAACAGACAGTATTACCGCTTCTCAGTTGGAGGCTTGACCGACGTCGCCGAAATCAAGGGACACCGTAGGACCTATGTAGGCGCTCTTCCTGGACGTATCATCCAGGCCCTCAAGAAGTGCCAGACCGAGAACCCCCTTATTTTGATCGACGAAATCGACAAGATCGGCCGCGGGCACCAGGGAGACCCGTCTTCTGCGCTTCTTGAGTTGCTTGATCCTGAACAGAATTCTTCGTTCCTGGACCACTACATGGATGTCCCGGTGGATTTGTCCAAGGTTCTCTTTGTTTGCACGGCAAACGTGACTGACACGATCCCTCGGCCACTCCTGGACCGCATGGAGCTCATCGAGTTGTCAGGATATGTTGCCGATGAGAAGATGGCCATCGCTCAGCGGTATCTCGCCCCTGCTGCTCGAGAGCTTACCGGTCTGAAGGAGGTTGATGTTAGCTTGACGGAGGAGGCCGTTGAGGAACTCATCAAGTCCTACTGCCGTGAAAGTGGTGTTCGGAATCTGAAGAAGCAGATAGAGAAGGTCTATCGTAAGGCGGCATACAAGATCGTTCGGGATCTCGGCGAAGATGTGCTCGCAGAAGAGAAGGCTCTGACAGATGAGGGCAAGGCCGTTCAAGAGGAGTCACAGAAGGAGACTGAGTCTCCCGACTCAAAGTCGCCTGTCGACCCGGAGAAGTCCACGACGGAAACGCCTCGCGTTGCGCTGAAGGTTCCGGAAAGTGTGCAGCTCAGTATCGGCAAAGACAGCCTTACTGACTATGTTGGACCCCCCATCTTCACGGCTGACCGTCTCTACGACACCTTCCCTCCTGGTGTGACCATGGGACTTGCCTGGACTAGCATGGGAGGTGCTGCCTTGTACGTCGAATCAATCCTGGAGAACGCCCTGACGCCTCAGTCCCGACCGGGCATCGATATCACCGGTAACCTGCAAAACGTGATGAAAGAATCTAGCCAAATCGCCTACTCATTTGCCAAGTCGGTTATGGCGAAGCAGTTCCCCGAGAACCGATTCTTTGAGAAGGCTAAGCTGCACATGCATTGCCCCGAGGGTGCTGTGCCGAAGGATGGCCCATCTGCTGGTATTACCATGGCAACATCTCTGCTGTCCTTGGCTTTGAACCACCCACTTGACCCAACCATCGCTATGACGGGAGAATTGACCGTGACCGGAAAGGTCCTGCGCATTGGAGGTTTGCGGGAGAAGACCGTTGCTGCTCGCCGTGCTGGTGCTAAGAAGATTATTTTCCCCGCGGACAACATGTCCGACTGGCTGGAGCTGCCTGAGGTGAGTGTTGGATGACTATTTGGGAGTGCCCGATAAGTGACTAACTTACAATCACAGAACATCAAGGAGGGCATTGAAGGCCATGCAGTAGGCTGGTACTCGGAGGTGTTCGATATCCTCTTTACCGACTTGGACAAAGGTGCTGCCAATAACATCTGGCAGAAGCAGCTGGCTGAGAAGCCCGAGAAGAAATCCAACGAAGTAGAGGAAGACGAGTGAATTACGCCACCAGTCCTCACGCCTTGATGACATACTGTTCTCCAGCTCACGCCGGGCATTGTTTATTTTCTTTCTGGTCACGTGCAAGGCGTTATCCTGTGGAAAGCATGGTTCGGAGTTGTCTTCATTTTCTTGTCACTTTTTCTTCTTTGGTTTCTAGATTCACTTCGTGGCGTTTCGCCCTTTGCTTCAAGTTGTGGGCCATACCACAACACCAGGTTGAAGTTGACGTTCGCCTAAACTGGCTGTCTTAGCAGTCCTGATACGACCAACGGCAAACTTGCAGCCTAGCACTCACTCCGCTCTGAGAAAAGAAGATGGTTGGAATGGTCCATGAGACCGGCTGTGTATCATTGTTGGATCATGTAATAAGCCGGTCTGGAGGAAGAGGATAGAGCTCTGACTACAGTGCTGCCTGACGCTGTTTTCAGGCTTGCTAATGGACAATATCACATCTTGTATATGTACATACCAAAGCTTTGACTTTGTTTCTTGTAATAGAGGCTACTTTGCCCAAGCCCTGTTCCTTCTAGACAGCCAAACTATGGCTTGAAACCTAGGTTCTGCCCATATTAGGTAGAGGATTGCCTCTTCACCTCGAAGATATCTGTAATCAAAGGTGAATATTACTGAGGCATGATCTGGCCCTAATGGAGACATCATATCCACGTAGTAGTTGGTCCTCCGGTTCCTAAAATTCCACCTCACTTGACAAGTATGTAAAGAAGTGCGAGAGAAGTATTTGTGTTTCAACACTCATTCACGCGTCCTACCTGTTAAAGGAGAGGCAGGATATCTCATTCACAGCGGCGTAAGTCACGGGACGTCTTTTCTCTTACTCTATAAAGCGCCTCGCAGGCCCTCTCTTGCGCTTGTCTAATTCTCCTCACCTCTCATATCCGTTTCTCACATACCCTCGTATCTTCTCTCGTAACTCACACATCCCGCACATATCGTCGATCAACATCTCTCGTTACCACCCAAAACAAAACAACCGCTACCCTCATCGTCATTCACGATGCAGTTCAATATCCTCTGCGTTCTGACCCTCCTTGTTGCCTTCGTGGCATCCGCGGCCGTCCCTGAGGTCGCTCCTGATGTCACCAGCACTCATGGAAGTATGTAGTTGTCCTTTCTTCTTATGCCATTCGCACAGAAAGACAAGATTGCTAACCGACACTTTCTCTGTATAAAGCCTGGTTCGATGTTGAAGACTTTGACGTGAACGATTTCAAACTTGCTACTCGTGATGAAGGTTCGTGCTTCTCTGTCTTTGTTAACATGACATCCCCTGTAGACACACGCAAGAAACTAACCCCTTCTCATTTCCTCTGAACACAGACGAGTCCAATTCTGAATTGGTCAACGAAGACGATGGTGAAACGGTCGAAATTAAGGACAAGAGATGTCATCGCCGTGTTTGCCGTTATAGCTCTCAGTGCTGCCACACTGATACATGCGTTCTGGGCGCCTGCATGGGACCTGGAAAGTGGCCTTAAGTGTGATGCATGTATCCTGTCGACAAGTAAGCTTGATGATGGCCTGACTTTTAGTTGGCTATCTGGTGTGCATCATGAGTTTATGCTTGGTTGATGGTGGTGAAGAGACAAGCTCTAATTAGTCGACATGGTTGCTATTACCTGGATGGTGTTGTGCTTTCTTTTCATATCTGCCAATCTTTCTCAGCTTAGTCTATGACACTGAGTGGCTCCTCTATTTCTTTCGTGTTACTTCCATCCTCCACTCTTGTTTTCTTTTCTGTGAGTCGTTGTTTGCCGAACAGGGCAATCGTCACCGTGGACTGATCTGTTGTCACCTGCTGCGCGGGACGACATGAGGAACGGACTATGGAGACTTGAGAGCCTAGTTCTAGCATTCTCGACGCTTGCTTCTTAATGACTTGATAGTATTCTGGCAATTCTAATCACTAAACCCTTACTCGAGAAGAACCTTGGCCGACATGGCCTAGACTCTATTAGTGTAACCTACTATATCCAACACCATCACCTACAACTCCACTACAACCATAACTAGATATTGATCCGTGATGATAATACTAACCGCATACTATACTATCACATATGCATAGACCGTCCACTAACGACTAGGGTTGTAGATATCGCACCAATGATCATGAAACCTTATCCGTCCTATAGGAGTAAGTTTCCTACCCGACCTACATGTCACTTTTACTTACTACTTACCACTACTGCTACTTCGGTCCGGAACTCGTCAAGGCCCCTCTCTCTACTACTGGGTCCCCCAGGCTTTGCCCCGGATTGGATGCAAGCAGGGGGAGCTAGTTGGTAGAAAGACCACGACAACGGATCTGACAGGCTGGATGAAGATGGGAGTGTGTCATTCGGACTGCCTGGCTATATACCATCCGGGAATCTCCGCATGGGTTGGTTGCCTGGTTATTAATCTGACTCTTTTTTACCAGATTAACATGAGTGGTAGGAGTGATGATGGCGATGATGTATGTCCCACTTACTGTGGTAAGGAAGGACTAAAAGTTCTCAAGATTTAGCTCTTGAAAGTCATCATCTTAAGGTTCACTGAGGTCATCGATGATTTTATCAGATGGTATGTTTGGTCTATTCTAACAGACAGACTATGCCCTTAGTTGTATACACTGAACTTTGTCACAGTTGTACAAGAACATGCATACCATGTCAGTAGGCAGTGCAGCGGGCCTGCATATACAGTCTCCATGCCATCATCTTCTCTCAAAGCAGGCTCAAGCACGACAACAACGGTCTGTCAATCTAGCAACTGCTAACTAACTAACTACAGGACTAGCAATAGCGGCTATGGTGTTCACTGGCACAGAAAATAAAAACGGGGATGTTTTACTATGCTACAAGGTGGAGGATAATGATTGGCCGCATCATCCTGAGGTGTTGTTGTTCCTTCGATCTGAATGGGAGCATCACTTTGAAAAAGTAAAGTTTAACCGCGGGGGGATACTAGCTACCTACTAACTAACTATAGGTAGTAGTATCTATGAGGACCCGACGAGGGTCTTGGTGCCGTGATGAAGTATGAACTATTAACGGAGAATGGGGTCTTCCAGGGACCATTCGACTTATCTTTGTTGGATTATTGGATCCAGGTGTATTACTTCATCTCACGCCCCTCCCCTCCCTCTTCCCTTGTCTTTTCCAACCCCCTCCTCCATGGCAGCAACCTGGTTATGCACTTGATCGGGAGAGAGAGGTGGGGGGGGGACCTGGCAGACAGATGATTGTACAGCGTGGCCTTGCCTGGTGGTGTTGTTGTGTTTGCGGATCCAGCGATACGCTCGGGTAAACCAGAAAATTTACATCTGGAAGAGCCTAGTGATGATGAGGTGATGGGTGGATTCTTAGGGGGAGAGAGAGGGGGGGGGGGGGGGCGTCCTCGGTGATAGTGAAGGAGAGTTAGTTAGGAGACGATCGGAGACGAAGACCCGACCAGCTCAGTAAGTCGGATACCAGAGTAGCAGTAGGAGTAACAGTTAAATCGGGAGAGGAAGAAGACAGGAACGAACGGGGAGGCTTCGAGAAGAAAGTTGGGCTGTGCGTCTGCAGTAGTGGATGCCGTGAGATGAATCGAGTAGTGCTCCAGCCTGCTTGCGGTGGACTTTGAAGAAATCAAGGCGTTATCCGAGGAATCAGATAGATAGCGATTATTGTAGAGTTTACAAGTCGGTTTCCGGTTATTTCCTAAGAATTTCCTTACTTTTTGAGTTTCTTAGTAGGGTTGATTCCCGATCGGAGTCATTCTCCCCCAATATCTACTACTAACTACTACTTTGTATCTCCCAACGGGAATATACTACTGACTGACTAACCAACTGGTAACTAGGAACAATGCTGGTCTCATCTTTAATTACTACTACGACTGCTACTACTATTCCCATCCATATCAGGCACTCACTGTCAGGCCGCCGTGCATCTCCACTGGCTCAAAGACGGCAGCTGTGATTGCGGTTCCAGATTCGCTGTCTCGCCATGGCCCAGAGAGACTGACTAGACTCCTCCATAGTATCTAGTCTAGTAGTATTTCGCATCATCCTTCGTGCTTTAGTCCGTTTGAGATTTCCATTGGTTTGAGGGTTATTCCTACGCAAGGATCCGATTGTGCGTTCGCCGTTTCTTCCATCGGTCTTCCATTGGGCCTGTTCCATTCTGGCCCAGTCCTGCCAATCTCTTTCCCTCTTTCTCTCTCACGCACACACACCCTCTCTTGTGACAACTAACTATTACTTGCTTGCTATTATTCATTCCATCTTCATCCTCTCACATCTTCTCTCCCTCTCACTCTCTCTTTCTCCATCACTGCATCTCGTGGGCGGTGAATTCACCAACACTTTCCTCGCCTCCTCTTTCACCATCTCCTCTCACAACTACTAGTCTCCTCTCCTCTCTTCTCCTCTCCCTCTCTACCACCCCCCATTTATGGATCAACTGATCGACTGGCTGCGATACTAATCCAATCCTCGGCCTTTCCTTTCCTATTCCTTCAGCCCAACCAGCCTTGCAGCCGGGTGACACCTACGACCAAGTTAGTCGGTCTACTATCGACTCATCCTCGCCCCCATTCGTCGTATTCCGCTTCCTCGTCATCCTTATTTGTCCTGCGCGTCTCTCTATGCCCTCTCTATCCCACTGCTTTGTCACTCCCTCTGCCTTTGATCCCCATTAGTAGCAACCTGACAACAACAGCAGCAACACCTCCACCGCCACCATTACCTCCACTACCCCAGGTCATAAGAACAAGATCAAATTACATCCCCGACCATCATCTCGTCACTGTGCGCCCAGTGGGACTCGGTTTGACTGGGCAAAGCAGTGCCTGGACAACACAAACTCGGGTTCTCACCGACTTCTTCAGGGAGATTCATTTCTATTTATTTATATCATTGAATCCGATTTTAAAGTTTTTTTCCTTTTATTTTTCTCTTTCGTTCAATTGATTTTTTATTGCTTATTGGTCTATTTCAGCACAATTCCTCATTTTTTGTTTTCTTTGCTTTTGATTCCCTGCTTTCTTTTTCTTCTTCCCTTTCGCTCGTCTCATTTTTCAGGGCTTAAATCTACTACCCATAATTACTTCTGTTATTTCCTTTCCCTCTTCGTCAGACCTGTGAGAGACCTCGCACAGGGTTACAGTCACTGCTGACCGCAAGGATTTTGTCGCAATTCTTATGGACATCGCCATTCCATCCCCCTCGGGTGTTCCAGTCGTTCTCCGTACGACAATTTAGCGACCGTGTCGATCCGTATGGCCATCTCCATTGCCGACAGTTCCTGTAGCCCGACGAGGTCGCTCGGTCTGTTGTTGGACCCGGAGAAGGTTGACCTTCCCCGTCCCAAGCAGAGCATGTGGCATCGCCTGGGCCTTCGCAGGTGGCTGGGCCGCGATGATCGAGATTTCTCCTCACATTCCCCCGCTGGCGACGCTGCCCCCACCGCAAATAAACCCAATTCTCCAGCCGCCCACAACGAGCATAATGGTAATCAGAACAGTAACAACCACCACAACTCATCCCCCAACGGCAAGAACACCAACAACAAGCCGCACCACAGCAACCACAAAGCCCACGATAATCTCAAGCGTCGCCTGTCCAGAAAGGTAGGGGTTGGTCTGCCGCGAGCCACTACCTTTAAACGACAGAATTCCGAGCGGCGAGACAATCTATCACCCCTAGAACCCGAGCCCCGTCGTGCAGTGTCTGCCGACCGTCGTCGCGCCGTGAGCTCCCACCGGTCCAGATCCCCACCGCCCACCGTGGACCCCAGACTGTCCGCTCCCGAGGTTCAGTGGCGCGAAGACCCGAGCGAGACCACGGTCGAGCGACTACCTGAGGCGAATGAGGACAGCGACTTTCTCTCGGAATGGAACCCCTGTCCTGACGTGGCGGAAGCTCCCGAGGAGCTACCGGACGACACGCTCGAGATGGAACTGGAAAAGCGATGGATTTTGAACCTGAGCATGCATTTTCGGGATCGCTCGGAGCGGGAAAAGTTTTTCGTCACATACGCTGAGACTCCAACTCGGTGGCGGAGAGTCACCATATCCTGCGACTACCGCGGTGCGCCCCCGGATTCCCTGGAACAAGACCTGAGGGAATTGCGGTATCAGCGAGACAAGTGTGCCCGAATTTACGAGTCGATTCGCGAGTCGCTGTCGGAGATTCAGTTTTACGACACAGTCACCAACCTGAAGCTGGAAACTCGCGACGGCCGCCTGCATGTGCACGTTACGGAAGATGTCAACGAAATCATTCCCTATCCGCCTGTTTCTTGTATCGGACATTTGCCACAAGCGCGACTGGTCCCCGAGAACCAGCTCCATTTCGACGCGCATCTATCCGGCTTCGTCTACAACGTCCAGTTAGATGGCAAGGCATACATCAAGAAGGAGATTCCTGGACCCGACACAGTAGATGAGTTTCTGTACGAGATCAACGCGCTTCACGCCTTACAGGGCACCCCTTATGTTGTCCGGGTAGAAGGAATCGTGGTCGACGACCTGCAGCAGGTGGTCAAGGGTCTTCTCATTAGCTATGCAGAGAAGGGAGCTTTGGTCGACATTCTCTACGAGAACCGTGGCTTGATTTCCTGGGAGCGGCGGGAACGCTGGGCCAGGCAGATCGTCCACGGTCTTTGTGAGATCCACGAGGCTGGCTACGTACAAGGAGACTTTACTCTTTCCAACATTGTTGTTGATGCCGACGACAATGCCAAGATCATTGATATCAATCGCCGGGGCTGTCCGGTAGGATGGGAACCTCCTGAGATTGCGGCGAAAATCGAGAGTAACCAGCGAATATCGATGTATATTGGAGTGAAGACGGATCTGTTTCAGCTGGGCATGACATTGTGGGCTCTGGCAATGGAGGAAGATGAGCCAGAACGACAGCCTCGTCCTCTAATGATTCCACCGGACGCACGGGTACCGGACTACTACCGTAGGTTGGTCTCTATCTGTTTGAGTGCCACCCCCCGACACCGGCTGTCGGCCAAGGAACTTCTAGGCTTTTTTCCCCGCAATATGTGGATGACCGAGCAGTCGTTTCCTCCGATACGTCCTGCACAGACAGGCCTCGGCGTCGCCTTACAGAATGGCGCTTTGCCACTGTACGATCCCCGAGCGGCTTTTCTGTATCACCACACGCAGCCTGTAGTCAATGGGGCGTCTTTCGACACTCAATTATCGCTGGATGATACATACTCATTACAGCATGACGGCAGTGACTTTGCTTCTACTTCTCCAGATAGAGAAAATTACATCATGTCCAGGGAGCAGCAAGCCGGGGTGGCTAGAACAGCGGAGCACGAACTGCTCGAAAGGGAACCCCTATCTGCAGCCCAGCGCAGAGTAAACGCAGTCACCTATTCACCAATGGCTAATGGAGTCTTTCCTCAGACAAATCTGAGAGGCTCTCATGCAGTACACAACACCGTTCCAAGGTATATGGAGGACGAGCCTGATTTGGTCGCCAACGCTCATCCTCCTTATCCGCGACGAACAATGGACGGTGCAGTTGATCAAATCCCCTGTGAAGCGGATCATTTGCCGAAAGAATTTGCCGGTGTAGAGGGGCAACTATCGCCATCATTGAATCGCTATTCATCCAACAACCTATCGGAAATGGGACGGTCTCAAGAATCTCCAATGTCATCAGCAGATACCCAATCAACGGATTTATACCCAGCTCACTTGACTGACCTGGGACAGGCGCTGATTGACGACCAACATTGGCCAATGGAAGCGCCGTCGCGTTCCGTTTCTTCACTTCTTCACTCGATACTACCGATTAATCCTGCAGCCAATGCCCCAGACCAGAAAATGATAGACTCAGACGCAGACCGATTCTCGCATCTGAGTATGAGTTCCACCTTGGGGTACCCTCACCAAGGCCTCCAAGAACCCACGACCTATTTGAGCGAATCTCATTTACCCATCAACCCAGCATTTACGGAAGACGCCATAGGCGTCCATATGACAGGAAGGGAGTGTTGAGCCATTGCAGGTAGCCACTTGTTCATAGTAATCATCCATGACTTTCGAGCCATGGGGACTGAGCAGTGCCACTCCTGCTATTTTCACTGTACAGTTAGTTCTTTTGAAGCGTTGCTCTACGGAGTATTCAGCGGGCATTACGGCGAATATGGAGTTGGATGAATTCGGGGTTTGCTTTTTTCTTTCATCTTTGTTTTATCTTGGCTTGATCTACTACACGCTGATCATCCCCTCAAAAGCCCTCACGCAGGTTTTCACTACTGCAGTTGCGATTACAGTCTCGGGAACCCAGCTGCCATCAGAGCAGTGGGGATATTTCTGGACATGGCGTTTTGTTTTTCGTTTTCCGTCTTTTTGCTTTCTGCCTGCCTACCTACCTGCCTGCCCACTAACGACTTACGACCGGATGGATATTGTGACTTTTTGAACTTCGCGCCGTTTCAATCTTGTACACTGGTTTGTTAATACTATTCTAAGCAGCAACTGTATTAATCTGAAAGGACGAACTATTTGATTGGCCTCTCTTCCCATATAAATAATACATCATATCTAGTAGTAGTATGCAGCTGTAATACTCTACTCTTCTCTTCATACATACAATCATCATCATCGTCATCGTTACAAACACCCTCCTCACCAAATCAATCAACTACTTAGTAGTAGTACCCTACCGACCCAACCACTCCTCCAAACTCCTCTGCCACGCCCTCCCCCCATCATCACCACCCAACCCCCGTCCAATCAAAACAATCTTACACTGGTTCTTCCCATCCGCCGGCTCCGAATCCCTAATCTCAAAAACATCCCGCACCGCCTGAATAATCTTCGTCGACCCATCACTCAGCACCAGAATCCCCTTTAACCGATGAATATCGAATTCCGTCGGCCCGGATACTTCATCCGCAAGCGGCATCACAGAGTCCCACAGTACGGATTGAAGCCAGGTGTCCACGCGGGATACTTGGGCCGGGGTGATGGGGGGTGTGGTGAGGGCGATGGTTGAGATGGACTGCGAGTAATGCATCAGTAAACGATCAAACCAAGGAAATGAAGGAAATGGGGTCTATACCGGATCCATATGACTATGTCCCTTCTGAGCAAAATCCAACGAATCCAAATGATCATAGGCATGCAAATCCAGCACCACGCCCTCTATCTTTGGCGTTTTGCTATGATCCGTGATATGGATTTTAGCTGCGCTGTTGATGGCCGTCACGCGGTCTTGGACTGTGGCGAGTTCGTCCGCGGTTACGAGGTCGGCTTTGTTGATGATGATTACGTCGGCGTGCGAGATTTGCATGTGTGCCATGGAGAGGACGGGGCCGGTGTGCTTGTGCGTATTGTTGGATTCGGATTCTGTTCCGTGGCTGGAGACGGTTTCTTCCGGAGTGGGCTCGTCGAGCAGGTGCAGGATGTTTTTGGCGTCCACGAGAGTCACGATTCCGTCGAGGTAGATGCTGCTTCCTAGGTTGTCGTCGACCCAGAAGACTGGGGCGATGTTGCCTGGGTCGGCGAGTCCGGTCGTTTCAAGCAGGATGTAGTCGAAGGCGCCGCGGCGTTCCATTAGGGATTCGATGGCCATGACGCCGTTGTCTCTGTAGTTGGTTAGATGGGTGGATGATGGGAGGTAGGTTGGGGGATGGGGGTGTACTTGACGGAGCAGCAGATGCAGCCATTGCCGACTTCCATCCATTCGGTCACTTCTTGACCGTCTTGGTTGACGGTTAGGGGTTTCTCGATGTCGGTTGCTGGGTGGGTGTTAATTGGGTTGTTTGTTGTTTATATAGTGAGAGGCAAAGTGTATAGGTTGTCTTACAGTCACCGAACTCTACATTATCTTAGCAATTTAATAGTCTTGTAGCTATAGTGGTGGTCACTCACCGTTCATGATCACGGCAATCTTCTTGCCATGCTTCTCGGTGAGGATATAGTTGAGGAGGGTGGTCTTGCCGGCTCCCAGATAGCCTGACACCAGGGGACATGTTAGTTAATGTGGATCTACGGGATATTTCTTCTTTTCTTTTCTGCTGCTGGTCTACAAGGGAGATGGATCTGCATGTGTGGCATCACATCATACCAGTCACAAGCGTGATGGGCACGCGGTTCTGAGGCGGCGTGTCTAGTGACGTCGATGGCGGGGCCACATCGGGGGCGGTCGAGATGTCAACCAGCTGGGGTGGGGCATCGTCGTCGTCCATACTGAACGCTGTGTTTGTGCAAGCTGGGGAGAAAAATGACCGTAGTATAAACTAGAATATAGATAGAATGCAGAGGAATGCTAAGATATGAAGAATGTCGGGGAATGACGTTACCCCAACAGGAACGCTAGGGCTTAGGGCACCGGCAGTCATTTGGCAGCAATGCAAACCAGACAATCGCGGCCAGTCCCCGTCCGGCCAGCTCCATCTTATCTCCTCAATTCAGCTTGTTGTTGTTCTTCTCCAATTCCCTTTCGTCTCTCCTTTACATTCCTCCTCTTCATTTCCTTCTTTCTTTCTGTTTTCACTCATTTGAGACTCTGCGAATCCTCTCGCTATGGCTACTGCGGGAGTCTCGCAGGCCACCTCTCCACGTCTGCCTAGTCCGCCCCCGTTCACGGAGGTCCAGATCGGGCCCAAGTCACCCTCGGTCGGCGAGTCCTTTGACCACGAGACGGAGCAATTGCTGGGCGCTTCACAAACATCGGAGGATGGCTCAACCAGGAGGATTCGTCCGGGTACTAGAGCTGGGGATATGGCTGTTGGACCGCCTCTGATCCCTCTCTCCCAGGTACAGTTTCCGTAAACAAAGCACAGCTGTCTCCGAGTAGCTCCGCTGACCCAGCCACCCCTTTCTGCAATAGCTTGATTCCCCCTTCCAACTCCAAGAACACCTCAAGGCTCTTTACAATCATTACACACGGCCCGAAGGCTCTGACACAGTAGTTCCCATCAGTCGGGATGTCGCCATGCAGCTCGCGGAACCTCCGGACGGCGTCGACCGATCGCTATGGCTCTACGAGCTATGTCGCTTCCTGACTATGAAAGTCAACAATCTCATCATCGCCTTCTTCGCCGACTCTCCTCCCTGCTCCTCCCAGACTTGCCCCGAGATGCGTGCATCCGAGTGGCAGTACCTCTGTGCCGTGCACGATCCGCCCAAATCCTGCTGCGCCATCGACTATTGCTGCCATACCCTCGATTGGGCCACGAATATCCTTACGTCGCCTAAATACTTTCCCAGCCGACTGACTCTCGGCTCGGAGACGGGCGGCGGCGCACAGGCCAGCATGAGACATTTGACCAACATCTTCCGAAGGCTGTATCGCATCTTTGCGCACGCCTGGTTCCAGCACCGGGAGGTGTTCTGGCAGGTGGAGGGACACGACGGGCTTTATATCTTCTTCAAGACGGTCTGCGACATGTACAGTCTCATTCCGGAGGATAATTACACGGTTCCTGCGGAGGCGGAGGGCGTCGATGTTCAGCAGCCGGCCGTGCCGGAGCGCACGGACAATCGTCGGATGACAATCTTGCGCAAGGAGAACGAGCCGTTGTCGCTGGAGAGTATGGAGCCAGCGTCGATCAGCACGGGAGCCACCACGAGGCGTCACAAAAATAGCCCGTCGATCAGCTCGAGCGTGACGACCATCAACGAGGGCGCAGAGGACGACGAGCAACCGAGGCAGCAGGCTGTAGCGGCGGCAACGGCTGCGGTTGCAGCTGCCAATGCCGCAGCGGCTGCTTCCGCTCCTGCTCCTGCTCCTGCTCCTGCTCCTGCCCCTGTCCCTGCACCGAAGGAGGCCGAGCCAACGCCAGCGGCCGAGGAGCAGCAAAAGTCTGAGCCGGAGCCGGAGCCGGAGCCATCCGTTGACGACAACGGAGCTAAGGTCACTGTTTCGGAGGTACACGCTGACGATGACGAGGCTACCCAGGAGACAACAGAGAAGCCGGAAGAAAAATCAAAGGAGAAGCCAGAGACAGCGGAGCCCGAGGCGGAGCCCAAGGCTGAGGTTGAAGCTGAAGCTGAGGCGGAAGAGCCGGCCAAGCCTGAAAGCGACGCCCCTGCAGAGACAGAGGCGAAGCCCGAGGTAGAGGCCGGAACCAAGCAACCGAGCGAGCAAATTAGCGAACAGGAAGCGCCAGCGCAGGAAGCAGCGCAGGAGGCGTAGCGACGAGCAGATTCCTTTCTACTGATTTCTTTTTTTGACATGATACATGATGGCATGTGTCGATACCACGGTTGTAATATGTGAGCATGTTCGTGGGGAAGGCTCTGATGTAATATACGAGCGAGTAATGATACCCTTATGAGTGGATTTGACTGCTATTCTGTAGATTAGATGTAGATGTTGATGTAGATGGTGGTGGTTGTAAACGATAGATGGTATGGTATGGTATCTCCGCCTAACTCCGATGATGTCGATAGCGATGTTCTCCACCGGAAGTAGTCCACCCCATCTTCATCTTCAAGACAACCAACTATCCCTCTTCTACAATCAATTGCATATACCACCAACCCATACACCATACACATACATATATACCCTCAAATAACCTCCCACATATATACATACATGTCCACCCCCACACCCACCACAACACCACCAACAATGTCCATCCCAACCACCATAACCCAAATCCTCAAAGCCGGACCCATTCACTTCGGCCCCTTCACCGTCACAACCCAGGTACGCCCTCTCCCCTTCCCCATTATAAACACCCGTCCCTCAGATACTAAAAGAGTATAACAAAACAGGTCTTCCACCTGACCCCGCACAGCTACGCCCTCGTAAACCTAAAACCCATCCTCCCAGGGCACGTCCTCATCTCCCCCCGACGGGTCGTTCCCCGCGTGACAGACCTCACCCCGACCGAGACCTCAGATCTATTCCTGACCGTGCGGCGCGTAGCGCGCATGATCGAGCGTGTATATGGAGCGTCGAGTCTGAATATCGCTATCCAGGATGGTGCGGATGCGGGCCAGAGCGTGCCGCATGTTCATGCGCATGTGATACCCAG